GTACATGGAACATGTTTCCATAACTCGAATAATGTTAAACTTCTTTAAGTGAATAAGATAGTTTTTTTAATACAATAACAAACCATACTCAAATTTTAAAGAAACTAATTTTCTAGCAACCCTAGAAGTTACTTACCAAAGCTACCGGACTCAAGCAAGCCCTATTAAAGCTATACACCCTCCCAAGTCTTCTCTTTTAATTTCTAAAGAAGACAAATCGCTCAAGCAACTCCTTACAAAACTAAGGTAAAAGAAGATTTTTCCAACCAAATCATCCAACAAAATAACTATATCAACCTTTATCTCTAGTCATTAGGCAAGCGAGACAACTAGAATAAAGTAATTTATTTAGCAACCTAAAAAGGTTTTTGTTGTCGAGAAAAAAAGAGTCTTTTAAAATATCACAAGACAATGTTATGTTAAAACTAGTTCATTTTAAAAAAAATGATTATAAACCATCATCTAAAGATGATAAATTTATGAATGAACTAGTATAATGCTTTGAGAAACTAAAAGTTTTAGAAGGAAAATCTAAGAACTAAATTCATGTCTTAGAAAAAGTGGAGCAAATGTTCTTATTAGAATAAAAGGCTAGTTTTGAACCTCAATCAAGTAATAAACTAACATAAAAATGAGCAGTCCCAATCTCACCAATGAACTACTATTACCATAGGCCTTCACTTATGGATCTTCAATTTGAAAAAATAGGAAATTACAATCTAATTTTTTATCAAAAAGACATTAAAGAGTGGAACATTGATGGCATGTCAAAATATCAAATTAAAACCACTATAAAATACGTGTTTATGTTCTCTACAAGTACGCCTTTTAAGGGAAATAGAAATAGAGAAATAGCTACTATAATTGCTAGTGGTTTCATAGGACAATTACAATGATGGTGGGATTTCTACCCATCAAACCAGAGCCAAATAAGAAATCCTTTCAATAGTAAAAGAAGTTATTGTCACTAATGCTAATGGAACATTAGAAATAAAGGTTGATTTAGATATAATCAACACTCTAATCTACATGATTGTAGCCTACATCATCATAAATGTCCTTCAAATCGATGAATCTCAAGAATAGTCGATGAATCTTACATGCTAACCTTATTATACTTTCATTACTACAAGGATGTGTTCTTTACTAGAGTCATGACAAAGCCAAATTGTGAAGTTTAATACTAAAAAAGAAGTCATCTCTAGATTTTCTCCTCTATTTACGGAAAAAGTTCGTAATAGGATTAAGAATACCTATGGTAGAGTCATCCTTTGCTCCAACCTAATGTATGGATAACTCACTGCAAAAGCTATCAAAGAAGCATTAATCTATAGAACGACATCAAACTAAAAATCCAACTTGATAAACAAAAAAAGATCTACAAAAGGATGTTAGGTAACTTCTCCGAACAGATTGGCTACTCCCATCCAAAAAATTTTAATAAGAAATATATAAAGAAAGAATTTTAAATATTATTTCAAAAGAAAACCTATAATAAAAAGAAAAAAAAAGCTATGAAAAGTCTCTAGGAACTTCCAACTCTAAATTTAGAGTAAAAAAGTTCTAGTTTGCTACAAGTATGGCAAACTAGGACACGATAAGAACAATTATCTAGTTAAAAAAAGAATTAATCAACTAGACATATAAGAACGACTTAAGTAGAGTATTTACTAGATTCTTCTTAAAGAATCATATGGTAAAGACTTAGTCCTCAACATCCTAGAGTATTCATCAAAGGGGATAATTCATCTTTATCCTCTAGTGAAGAAGAAGAAACTTCGAGCATCCTAATAAGAATTACAATGAAGGATACGACTATGAAATCTATCTCACCGGAGATATATTTGGATTAAGCATAAATGTCTTAAAAAAAATGAGTCACTCATCCTAAATCCGATTAACAAAATCGAGAATCCTAATAAAAGGAAAATTATTCTTAAAAAATGCATTCACCTCAATCAGACCACCTTAAAACCTCTTCTAAAACTTTTTCTACATAAACCTTAAATCAATTATTCTACCTCTCTATAAGAAATCTTATCTAGAGCCAAACACTTTACCTCAAAAGAACCAAACTTAACCGAACTCAAAATAAAAATCGGTGAAGTTAAAGAGAAAATCAAAAAACTAAAAGCTAGATTCTTTAATTTAGAAACTAATCCAACAACTAGCCTAGTGATATGGTAAGATTCCGATTCTAATTCGGATAATGAACTAGGATACTTATCCCCGAATAAAGAGATAAGAGATGAATCAATAGGCATATAGAATATTTTAGTTAATATTATCTCTAATCAAAAAATGAAGAATTTAATATGGATTAATAAATTAGACAAGGTAATAACCTAAAAATGGTATACTTAAGTTACAATTATTATCAATAAGAAATTCAGCTCCAAGACTAAAGCCCTAGTTGATTCTAGTGTTGATTGTAAATCGCTAAAAATGTCTTAATTAAAGATGTTAAAAATATTATATCTAAACGGATATTTGCTTAGATCGTAAGCCATTTTGTCTATCTTTTACTTTGATAACAAGCACATTAGTGGAGACTCAAATTCATTACTCGATTTTCTAACTAGAGAATTCTTATAAAGATTATAAGTTGAAATCATTTTCGATGTCTCCGAATTCAAACGATCTTTCAACCCTAAAAAGGAAAAGAGATCGACTTCCAAGCCGACCTCTTCTAATAAAAATAAAGGTTTTAGGCTCTCTAATGAAGCCTCCGTTCTAGGTATGACCTCTAATAATACAAGCGAGACCAAATATCTTAACATCCTAGGACCACTAATCTAGTTATGTCACCTGAAGGTGTCGTGAAGGACTTGTCACCTTATCAAGTTGCTAAGATAATGCTAATCAAGTATCTTCCTTCCAATTTGGAAAAAAAAAAAAGGTACTTTACTATCAAGCCATTCTAATTGAGATTGGTTTAACTCTCTTCTTCGACTAAAACAAAAATCAAAATGAATGAGCTTACTTTAAGTTCATCATTGTTAAAATCATTTCTTCTTCGATCGAGTAAAAGATCTTCATGCAGAGAAATCTCTAAAAAACTATGCTTATTCCCCAAAGAGCTACTCCTATTTTGATTATATTGATACTTATGAGTATTCATTAATTTATGAAAATAAGCTATTAAAACACAACTCGGTTTATTTAGTTCCAATTCAAGTCCTATCTAGAATCTTTTTCTATTTGGTTCTAAGAATGATTTTCTTGTTGGAGTCTATTTCCTATCTGCATGACTTTATTTGTTCCTCTTACTTCGGAGACTTTGCAACTCCCCATCCTAAAAAGGATGATCTACCCAATCTAATCTCTTTTATGTCTTTTTATTAGGTTCTCTAGATTGTTAAATGAAATTATATTATAAACAATGCTAATGATAGCAGAGGAGGAATCTCAATAGATCTCTTCTAGCATCTCAAAATACCACTTATTAAGTGGTAAACAAAGTACAATTTTGAAGAAAGTAAATTCTTCTACCTAAATAAGGTAGTCCTAAGCTTTAAGATCCTCTATAAAATCACTCCTCAAAGAGCTTCTTTCTTCTACTTCTAAACAAGAGATTAAAAAATCTCTAGTAGAAGTCCTTAACAAACAAGATATAAAGACTAATAAGTCTCTCTTTCAAGATTTACAGGACCTCTTTAAAGATGTGGATAAGAATGTCGATATGATAGACACCATTAGTGCTCATGTTAGCCCCTTCAAGTAAATTTGCTTTCGGTACGATAAGGGCCCTCGACTTTTGAAAAAACTATCTACCACAATACCTAATCAAGTCATCATCACACTTTCGGCAAAATGTGGCCCATCAATTTTGAAAAGATGTCCGCCACCCTTCCACCCAAAGATTCTTTGGTCATGGGTCAAGCCCTTTTCCAACTATCGTTGACCATTAGACATACTTTACATATTGCTTTTACTTGTTTTAGGCCACTTGTAAAATATGTTTTAAACTCTTTATTTTTAGGCCATCCACTTGTAAAGTTTCTTTTCTATCATTTTGTATATCCATCTCTATACGGGGACGTTCAGTTTCATTTGTTGGGCATCAAAATTTTTAATTTTCAAAATTTTAGAGTGTTTCTCCCTTGTAAGATAAAGTGTGAGAGTGAGGTGAGAGTGTTTTGTAGAACCTTCTTGTAACCATCCTTTTGAAAATTCTGCTAACATATATGTGAGTTTGATTTTTCTAATCCATTGTTCTCTTTCACTTCATTTGGTAACTACTATAAGCTTTCTTCTTTAAGGATTTAAAAATTTAACGACCTTGTCCCCCACTTGGTATTATATATGTGTGTGTGTGTGTGTGTAAGAGAGAGAGAAAGAGAGAGAGACTTAGTAAGGACTTTACTATATTGTTATGTATGGCCTTATTTGAATTTGAAAGGGAGGTGAGTGAGACCATTTTTGTGTAGGCAACCTCTTTTTAATCGAGAGAGTTTAAAGTTCAATAGGGTTCTATTTCAATGGACGGACGCTCAAGCCCAATTTCACACTCCTCCATGATGCTACATAGCAAATAAGACCAATTGGCTTAGCCTTTGGGATTGTACGGACATGTCATCTAGGGATCTTAACAAATGACTTAATCAAAGGGCAAGCGGTTGAACTTCCAGCAATAGAGGTTTAATTTTATTTTATTTTTTTAATTTATTACAGTAAAATATTAAATATTTTTAAAATACAACCCATTTATTTTGAAGTGTATTCATTTTGAAAAAAAAAAAAAAAAAACTGGTCCGGTGTAAGTTGATCCAATAATATTCTTGTTTTTAAATAAATTAATTAAAGAGAAAAGAAATTCCACGTGTATCAAACTGACAAAATCTTTCGGTCTAAATGCAGGCAAGAATTCAAGATTGAGGAAGCAAATACACGAACTAAAAAACAAAGAAATTTTCTTTCCTAACTCTCCTCTCCTACCAGTCTTTACTTGACTCCATAATTACCTAACAAGAACTCATCGAGAATCTAGAGAGAGAAAGATGTCGTGCTTGTTGTCGTGCTTTTCATCTTGCTGTGCATCTCTCACCTGTGGCCTCTGCACTTCAGTGGCTTCTGGGATCTCTAACAGATCAGCAAGACTTGGTTATTGTGGTCTATTTGGTGTTTCTTTGATTCTTTCTTGGATTCTCAGAGAAGTTGGTGCTCCTCTCTTGGAGAAAATCCCTTGTTAGTCCATTCCTTCACTGCGGTTTTCATTTTTATCTCCCAATTTTCAGTTTTATGCGCTAAAGTTTGATTCTTTTAGCTCTAAGTAATAGTTCTGGAAGTGATTGCAGAATCTATGAAGTCAATTGATAATTTATTTTCTTTTTCTTTTTTTCCTTTTGTGTCCGATAGTTTTGATGATTGTTCAAGAGGCAAGTGGGTTTTCTTGATTTATCCCAATCCACATATTAGGTCTTCAATCTTATGGATTTCTATCCAGTCAAGTTCTTATAATAAAACTGTTTAGTTAATAGTTTGTGATGTGCTTCTTGTCCCTAACATTAATTTCCCAAAAAAATTTGAGCTAGCCAGTCCAAGTATGATTGTGCTTGGATTCTCGTTCAGAATTGTCAAAGTTTTGTTTTGTTCGATATTAAGAAAATTTAGTAACTTTCGATTGTTGGGTTGTTCTATTGGTGCTAAACTGAGGAAATGTGGCTTTTTTGAAGCAGATGTAGTTTTGTTTGCCAGACTTTATGCTCATGTAAATATGTAGTTTTGGTTCGCAAACTATATGCTTATGTAAAAATATGTAGTTTGATAACCTTCTGACTGTTGGTAATGGAGATTCTTTAAACATCTACCTATGTTCAATTACAAGAATCTAATCTGATAAATGTTTGCAGGGATAAAGTCTTCCGGTACTCATCCGAAGGAATGGTATCAAATACAGGCAGTGCTTCGTGTGAGCTTGGGGAATTTCTTGTTTTTTGCAATATTTGCTCTAATAATGATTGGCGTGAAGGATCAAAACGATAGACGGGACTCATGGCATCATGGTGGTTGGATTGCAAAGATGGTCATTTGGCTTTTGCTTGTTGTCCTCACGTTTTTTCTTCCTGATGCTGTCATCTCAGTCTATGGTCGGTTTTACTTTCATGGTTGGAATATCAAATTAAAGCAATTATCATATCTCTGGCTGTCAATCTGACCCAAGCATTGATCAGGAAATTATATAGATAATGACTGACTTTTTCTGATTGGAATTTACTCATTTCCCATGCTTGGGATTTGGGACAAGCTTGTTCTTTTGTGAAGTTACATTGGGCAGAAGATATTAGGGGTTTCCGGACAAATCTGATCAATTTGCTTTAGACCAAGGAAAATCTATGGTACCTGGATTAATAAAATTTGTGCTTAAATTAATAGGTCCAAAAAGATATCGAATATTTCTTGGTTGCTTCTGACCTTTTTCCCCCCTGAGACATGAATAAATTGTATTGAATGGCTCTTAAAACTGCTAAAATTTCTCTGGCTGTCACTGTCATGCAAGCATTGAACAGGAACTTATATAGACATGGACGTTTTTTGATTGGCATTTGAATCTTTTTTTCATTCTTGAATGAGCTTGTTCCATTGTGAAGAACTTCAACTTACGTTCGACAAATAATGGGGTTTCTGGACTCATCATTTTACAGGTTCATGTAGGGCTCATTCATAGGTCAAATCTGATCAGATATGCATGAAACTAACGATTTTTTTTTGTTTTCTCCCTTGGAACCTTAGATAATCGTTTGTCCAAATTTGCATTCCTGAGGTGATGATACTTCGCCATTGGGCCTGTGGCAGTGCCATGTTCTTGACTTGGATTTATGAACTGTTTGATTTATTTAATCTCTTCCTTATATTTGATGTCAAAATTCATACTTGATGAAGACAAACAAAATTCTCCTGCAGGAATTTTATCAAAATTTGGTGCAGGGATATTCTTATTGGTTCAAGTGATTATATTGCTAGACTTTACACACACGTGGAATGATGCATGGGTTGAGAAAGATGAACAGAAATGGTTTGCCCAAATTCATATATCTCTTAAGTTTCCATTTGATTGTTTTTGTTGGATTTCTAAAGTTGCCATTGCATGTCTTCAGGTATATTGCTTTACTTGCTATATCAGTTGGATGCTACCTAGCAGCATTTGCATTTTCTGGCGTTCTCTTTATGTGGTTCAATCCATCTGGCCATGACTGTGGCCTCAATGTTTTCTTCATAGTCATGACCATGATTCTCGCATTTGCTTTTGCTGTGATAGCATTGCATCCTGCGGTAAGGATAAGATTGTGTTTTCTAAGTACTTTAAGTGAAAAAAGGTATATTCTATTCATTGATGCCTATCAAAACAATATTCAAAAGTAGCTCAATCTGATGATGTTTAACTATCTGTTTGCATAATTATATGGTGTATTGTATGTTTTGTTGATTCTTAAAGTATTGGTCAGTATATTACTGAAGCCACAGAGTCTTGGTAGATAATGTACTTAAAGAGACATATTAGAGAAAGCTTGATCATCATTTTGCAATTGCATTACTAGAAGGCATTATTTTAGTTCTACCAATAGTTGCTGTTTGCCAAGTGGACCCAAATTTCCTCAATGTGAAAATCTGAGTCCTATGTTGTCAGGTAGACAGTTGCAATTTGTTATAGCATCTGGTTCCTCCAAAAAGCGTGCAATTTAAGTGTCTTCACACATGTCTTCTCAAACACTCTATTTGGTATCCAAGATAGGAACCTTGTGCACTCTGTACTGAAGAAATGACAGAAACTTTCTTAAATTTTAAAACCAGAGAACTTTTTGTTACTTTTAGTGAATATGATTTTGAGTGGAAACTTCAAACAGGTGAATGGCAGCCTCTTGCCTGCATCGGTGATATCAATTTATTGTGCATATGTTTGCTACACGGGTCTCTCTAGTGAACCCCGTGACTATGCATGCAATGGTCTGCACAACGAATCAAAAGCAGTCTCCATAAGTACACTTGTCCTTGGGATGCTGACGACAATTCTCTCAGTTCTATATTCTGCTGTTCGTGCTGGATCTTCAACAACATTTCTGTCACCACCATCCTCGCCCAAGGCATCAGGTGATATTTACAGCTGGAAAAAAAAAATCAGCAGCCATCTTTTTGCATACATGTTCATTCTGTATGTTGCTAAATCTTGTTTTGCAGCTGGAAAGAAACCACTTCTAGAAGCAGAAGAGTTGGAAGAAGGGAAAGGAAAGAAGGAAGCAGAAGCCCAGCCTGTCAGTTATTCTTATACCTTCTTCCACCTGATATTTGCACTGGCTAGCATGTATTCAGCTATGCTTCTTTCTGGATGGACTGATACATCCGAGGCCTCAGGCCTAATAGATGTTGGCTGGACTTCAGTTTGGGTTCGAATCTGCACAGAATGGATCACTGGTTTACTCTATGTATGGACCCTTCTTGCTCCATTGTTTTTCCCCGACCGCGAGTTCTTTTAGTTCTTTTAGGCATCATCATTTTGTGTTGATTGTAAGTTTAGTAGAAAGTTCTATGTTAATATTGAGTTGCTTGATTGTTGTATGAAGCTGAATGTGCTTTCTTTATTTGTTGTAAAAACCTCTATTTAAGTTGACTTCAATGCAAAAGAAAAATAGAAGAGGTTGGCTGTATAGAATGAAAATTAACTAGTAATATTGCCAAATTTAATTTGTCTGCCAATAACATGACTGGAATTATAGTATTACTTTGAATTTGGGAGATTATAGTTCCTATTTAAAGATTAACTGCCTGTAGGTGTGTTAGCTCAGTGCTACTTTAAAAAGTAACTCTAAAACATTAAGAAAATATGATAAGAAAAAACTTCAAGAATAAACATGAGATGTTTGCCTGTGTACATGAGATTTTGGATCAAAGCGACTTACCATATTTTTTATTTTTTCCATTATTTAATATTTAAATTAATTTGATTTATGTGTGTTCTTCATGTATATGTGCTCTCCTATCACTCATGGAGGTGATTATTTTTCTAGAAGGTTGAACGAAAAAAATTTGTTTCAACACTTTCTTAGGGGGTACAATCGATTAGGATTTTATATGCTATAATGGCTCCTACTCGTCCTTTTGGTGTGCTTAACAATCCTCAAATCTCTCTCTATCATGTGTTTTCATCTTTTGTCAGCTTAATTATTTAGATAAGAAAATACTTGGAGTTAGCTTTAGTTTACTATTCGGTACATGCATGGAGAATTAAAGACTGTTTCTGTTTAAGAAATTGAATTTTGATCAACATCAAATACAGAAAGAATGACATGAGATGAAAACAAAGATATTATGAAATTAGGTTTTATTTCAGATCTCTATTTCTACTATCCTATTTTAGTCGATAATGATTTATAAAAAGAAAAATGAAATGAGGGTGATACAAGCTATTGACTAATTTAAAAGCTAATAAAAAATTTTAAAAAAAAATTCTTGACTTTTCTTCTTTCCTAGAAAAATTAACAAATAAAATTAGGAGTTAAATGTTTTTAATCTAAAACCAAACATAGCTTTAAATTTTATACTATCAAGGCGCTATTAATTTGATATCATTTTTGTTTTATATTTTCTGTTTTTGTTTACAAATTTTTTAAAACAAGATATAAAAACTTTGTTTTTTAAAAAATAAAATTAACAATATGAATAGCTTTCAAAAGTTTTCAAATCAAGATTTTAAACTTCTAGCATATGTTTTAAGGTTAGGTTCGATTTGAGAATTAAAAAAGGGTCGATGCCTAAGTTAAGATCGGAACCGAAATCAAGATTGAGGATGGAGCATCCCAAGGTTTCGGTTGGAATTTAGGATGAGGTGTCCGGAGGCATTTCAAGGTTTGAGCGAGGATCAAATCTATGCAACACCCGCTTAGAGGGAGCCTAAGAGTGTTATGGTAATACCACATACTCATAGAATGCAAGGCAAAGCCTTGTTACCTCTACCTTGTCTATAACAAACATTGCATAGTGGAATTGTTTTGGTTTAAAGTTCAAGGCAGTCTCAATTTAGCATACTAAAAACCAATACAAGTTCCACAAAATGTAAAACCATTTTTTAATCCTAGAATATGTGTATACATTAACATATCAAAATTGACCAAATGTAACATAGTCAAATGTAACATGAGTTTATGAGCAAAAGTAACTAAGCATAAGAAACACAAAAGTGACTAAACTTATGGAAACATAGACATTGTTTAGCCTTTAAACCTTAAACATATACATGTAGTACACATTTTGGCTAACTCGGTATTAGTATAGGTATTCAAGATCCAACTTGTTTGAATAGTTTGATATATTGTATCATTGCATTTTCAATATTAATAAAGAAATCTTTCTATTAATTCTTGTTATTTAAAATTTGATAAAATTAGATAGAAGTCCATATGATATGGATTGCATTAATGATTAATCAATAGATGTGAGACAAACATCAATGCACGTAAATGATATCATTAAATATCTCAAATCATAACATTGTCAAGATTGGACATTGACAATATACAATAAGAGTTGTAAGTATTATGCTCTTGCTATAAGATAGCGAGTAGCAGAGCTCACATTTATCGGCATGGTGATGTCAAAACAAGCACTTAGGTGAATAATGTTAGAGAACATATCACCGAACGTGACTCGCCATAAGAACCCATTTGGTATTGTCTATAAGAATCTCATACGAAATAAGTACAAGTAGTCATTTGACTTAAAGTCATCACGGTTATCTCATTAGATGATTAGTGTGTTTTACATTTGTTTTGATAGGCTTAGTAAAGAACTGCATGTGGACAATTTGTTGAGTGCATTATAAATCTAATGAAAATAGATAGATGATCTGCGATAGGATGATGACTAAGATAGGTCATATCATTCCTTATAAGCTAAATGAGTTATCAAATTACACTTTAATGAATGTCCGTTTAAGAATCTGTAGCCACAATGTGATAAATTGACATCGGGATCGAATGGTATGAAAACCGTACTCATGAAAGGTTATTATGGATCTAGTAATCCTTCTAGAGAATTGGATAGTCATGATGTCTTGTTAGAGGTCAATCTTGATTTATATATCAAGAGATAGAAGAAATGTCTTTTATCTTCGATACATTACCAACGTATCTAAGAGTCTATTGAGTCACACACATAAGTTTAAACATTCACACGGAAAAAGGAAAACGAATATTTTAGAAAACGTTTCCTATTTTGGAAATTGGTTTCCTAATTTAGAAATCATTTTTCAAATTTAGAAGTTAGTTACCTAAAATGAAAATCGGTTTCCTAATTTAGGTTTAAGGATAACTTAAGAAATTATTTTCTAATGTAGGCCTCTCTAAAAATACATGACCCAACTTATTTGAATGGTCCAAATTAATTGTTAAGTATTAGGTCAAAAAAGTTTGGGCAAAGTTGCTTAAGTAAAAGCTAGCAAGGTATTTTAAGTGGATGGATAATCTTGAGTAATAAAGGTGTTACAGGGCGACGTGTTAAGGAAAAAATAGGAAAAATAGGAAAAAAATAACTAAAGTCGCCACCTAGTATTATAGTTATTAGGAAATCCTATGACTGGTCTCGTTTAGAGTTACGAATAAGGAGTTTATTGCGTGTAGGGAAGATTAAAAAAAATCATCCTACCTCGTCTTACCTAAGGCAAGCTGCATTGCATACAAAACTAACTTGATTTCTGATTTTTAATGATGAAAGGCTATACCTATTTTTTAAGTATTTACCCACTCGGTCAAGTAATTTGGGACTTCGTTGGTTAAAGACCATGTCCTCACTTTATAATGAATAGCTAAAAATGATGAACACGAGGATATGTTGTTAATGTAGCTCAAATGGCATGCATAAAAAACAAAACTTAAAAATAGGCAAATAGACAAGACAAGCAAATTGGCAAAGTAGGCAAACAGGTAGAAATAGGCAAATTACGATAAAATGGACAAATCGACAAAATGGGGAAATGGCAAAAAAGGCAAACATGCAATTTGGTGAAATAAGAAAAATCGACAAATCAAAAAATTAGTAAAATCGACAAATCAATAAATAAACAATTGGAAAAATAGGAAAAATTGACAAATTAGCAAGACGAGCAAATTGGCACAATCGACAAATAAGCAATTAGGTAAAACGAGACAATTTGAAAAAATCGATAAATATGCAATTTGGTAAAAATCGACAAACAGGCAAAATCGATAAAAAAAAATTGATAAATTGGCAAAAATCAATCATTAGGAAAGATCGATAAAAATTAGCAAATCAAAAAATAGGCAAAATTGGAAAAAAAATTGACGAGTTGGCTAAAATCGACAAGAATCGACAATTAGGCAAAAATCGACAAGTTGAAAAAAAAAGCGAAAAGCGATAATAGGCAAAAGTCGATAACTAAGCTAAAATCAACAAAAGGCAAAAATAACAAAATTAATTGTCATAACATGCATGATTGATTGTGGTTTAAAAAAAAAGGCTCATACGAGAAAGTATAAACTTGTTTTGATTTGACATTGTGTTCTTTTTTTATAAAACTTTCATGCAATTAATTTAACGTCATTATCGACAAAATGATCTCGAAAACACGATTTGAGCCAATGCGATGCAAAAATCACATTTTTTAGTATAGATCGACATAATTTCATAAATCATCACGATTGACCAAAAACGAGTCCCAATCCAAGATTCGGACCAACACATTTTAAAAAATATATATATATCAAATAACGATGAATATCCAAATACGTTAAAAAAAAACATCATCCACTGAATCACAAACACAACAACCACTTAATTTAAACACACATCACCACAGTTCGGATAAAGCACACGTAAGTAGCAAATTAAATTAATTACATAACACGAGTCATTTAATTAATTAAAAACATATATTAATACGAATCACATTAAATACACACACACACACACACACATATATATATATATATATATATATATATATATATATATATATATATATATAATGAAATAAAGGGAAAGTTAAAAATAAATTACCGTAAACAAGAAGATGAATTTGTCCGACGAATTTGGGAGCGGTTTCGACCTTTTCAACTTCGATAGAGACTAATATCCAGATCAACACGGGAGAAAAGACCACTTGCTACTAATTGAATCTAATCGAATGATGTGGAGAGATGATTGCTAGATCGGGTTGGGTCCGGTTGGAAATGGTTCTAATCGATTTGCTGCTAATCCGGTGAAGGAAATTTTGATCGATGGCTAGAGCAATAGGAGGAGAGGCTGATTAGAACTAGATTGGCTAGATTGGAGCCGACGAGGTAGGATGAAGCTATTGGAGGGATCAAATCGAACCGTTATTGGCTGATGGGCTCTTAGGTTGGTGGTGGAAGAACGACCGATTAGTTTCGAATGTCACGCGACGAGCTTATCGGGCTTTTAGGTGGTCGCCATGACTTAGGGATAACAAATCTAGATGGGTAACGAAGCTAAACTAGAGGTC